GCTGCGCTGCGGCGGGGAGCGAAGCCTGCTCCCTCCCGGGACCCTCCGCTGCCCTTTAAACCTGCGCACCCCCGTTCGCATCTGTGCGCGCCGTGTGTGGACGTAGCTCTGCCCGAGCGCTGTGGGGAGATAGCAGCCAAGTCCCACCGGCGCAGGCAGCTCCCCCAGGGAGGCCTGTGGCTGAGAGAGCAGCGAGTGCCTTGAGTCCTCCTCAGAGGAGCAGCTTCCAGCAGGGGCTCAGAGCGCTCTGCAGGGCGAATGGAGGGAGGTGGAGAGCTTTTTTTGGCTGAAATTTATGCTTCCTCCCTGGAAAGTAACTTTTTTTCCATTTCACAGAGTGCTCTTTTGCAAATCCAAGAGCAGGCAACCAAGCTTCCAGAGCAAACAGTTGCAACAAGCATTTTTCCTTTTTTTTTTTTTTTTTTTCCAATGAGAACATCTAAAATGTCATCGCATGGCAGCAACTGCGCTGAGACAGAGCTGAAGCTGTGTGGTCTGAAAAGGCCAAGTGGCTGGGAGGGGAGGAGGCAGGCGGGCTCCTGCAGGAATCTCTCTTATGTAAATATATTATTTTATATTCTCATTTCCAGTAGGGTTTTGCCTTGGCACTTTAAGTGTTGTGTGCGCTTTCTCACGCGCTGCCTGCTGCGCCTGTGCTCCTGAGCATCGCAGGGCAGGGGCAGCCCCAGGAGCAGGGCATGGGCTGTTCTCTTGGCTGGGTCTTCACTCTCCCTTTGACCCTTATCTGCAAGTGCGTAAATTGCAAATCYGCATTTAGTTACCCTTCCTGGGCAGGGAAAACCTTTTAGTTATTACAGTTCTAAGGCCACTGCAGAAGGAGCTAAGCAGACCTGGCTCCTGACCGTGCAGCTTAGAGACATCCCCAGGATGCGAGAAGGCTACAGAAGAGGTTACTGGTGGAGACAGGTTCCGAACGCCACACAGGAAAGGGCTGTTGTACCCAAGCTTGTCATTTGCAAAGCCGAGGAGTCGATGATGCGCTGGCTGCTTTAGGAAGGAGCCTGGTTCCCATCTTTGCTGAGTAAAGGGCACTGAAAATTGGCTTCAAGTCCTGGACTTGTTTTTTCTCCTATGTGCTTTTGCCTCTAACCAGGAGTTTAGTTACTCCATCTCAAAGAACCTTAAGTGTCCTTTACGACAGGTACAGTCGGTACAGTGGAAGTCGGAAGAATAATAATAAGAAAAAAATGAACCTGTTGCATTAATTGTTATGTTTTCTTTTCCAAGCCTTGTTCTCAGAAGCTGTTGACTTTGTGACTACCACACACACATCCTGGATTATAGCTCACTGACAAAATCAGGATGACAAAAGGTTAGTTTGTGCTGACTKTTATCACTGTCATTACTGTACGTGGTGTGCTGTGGGAAAGGAAGATGGGTCTTACAACTCCCCTCTGTGTCTTCCCTACTCTAGTGCAGCACCTGTGAAGCTGAAGCTGTGCTTCACAGATCAAGCGCTGCCTCTCTTGGTAGAACAAGAGGCTGGGCAGCTTCAGAGGGTCACGGATGCAGGGCTCAGAAGGGCTCCAAGAGACTCKGGTCTATGTCTTTGAAGTGAATCAGCATCTGCATCAGTTGTTTAACATTTAAAAGAAAAAAAATCTAGCGTCGGAGATTCTGCATCCTAGATAACCTGCTTGATCACCACTTTGATATCATTTACATGTGTTTCTTCTTAGCCAAGCCAAATCATATTTACCAGTTGAGCAGATTTCTCAGTGTCCATGAAGAAGAGCTGTGCACTTTCCCCCCTTCTCATGGCTTTTGCTATATGCAGGCTCTTCTCTTCAATCTTATTCTCTTCAGCTTATCTTTTCTAGACTAAACACAGCCAGGTCTTTGAGTCTTTTCTTCCAGGACGTGCTTTCTAAACTCTTGTTTTTTTTGTTTTTGTTTGTTTTTGGTTTTTGTTCTTTTTTGGTTTGATTTTTGTTTGTTTGTTTTGTTTTTCTTTCCACTAGAATATCTGATTTTTAGATCTATTTTATAGAGTACAGAATGCAGGCTGTTGGTCTAGGTCTTGCAGGTGTGGAGTACAGTGGAATTGCTCCCTCCATGTCATGCGCATAGCTTTATGTCCCAAGATGTCCTTTTCCTCTCTTACAACAGGCTTACATTGCTGATACATAACTATTTTTTGACTCGTGTGTCTTTCTCTCCCTCTCCCTCTGTCCTCACCTTTACTGTGATTATTTTGACAGTATGCTAAAGTTAGATTTAGTATAAAATCTTGAGCTGGTTTGAATTGGTTATATAGAGTTTTTGGGTTAAAAAAAAAAAAAAAGTGGTGAGTTTCATATGGGTCTGTAGAGTTTATGCTTCACCATATATTATTTTGCCACAGAAGGTTTTCTCTCCATAGCTGGTGACTTCCTGAGTTCCTTCTTGCATCCCACCTGCTCCTCCTGTCTGTGGTCATTGTGCCTGGATCTCAGTGTCCTCCTTTTGGGAAGCTGAGCAGCCCTGCCTGTTCACTTCTCTTTGGTTGCTCACTGCAGTTGGGCCTTCCTCCTGCAGTTCAGGCAGTGAATTTAGGAGAGGATGGAGGCTTTAAACATTGTTATTCTGATGCTTTACTCTGGGCTTGCTCATCCACGGGATCACGTGAGAGCACTGCAGGGAGGGTGAATGAAGCAGTGGAGGCAGAGGGGACAACGCTGCCCCTTTCCAATGCAGCCAGCCTCTAGATTGATACCTGCAGCCTGAATTTCATCTTGATGATTTCAGGCTCTTTTGTGCTTCTGTTACTTAAATCATTGTTATCTTTATCACTTTATCTTCTAGGTACTACAAACTGATCACTTAACTTGATCAAGAACCTTTCTGAGGATTGAAGTTACTAGTGTGTAACTCCTTAAGGCTTCTCCCTGTGTCCCCTCTTTTTTTTTTCTTTCTGTTTATTAAGGTAGGTGAGGCATGATGCTTCTCCARCCTTCAGGGGCCTTCCCACATGATCTCTGCAAATCTTCAAAGATAGTCATTCCTGCCTCAGAGATTACTTTGGCTACTTCCTTAAATGCTTTCCGATGAATGCCGTAATTCCTTGCCAATCTACAGCTATGTGTTTAACCCATGCTTTTTAAACATACTGTTCTCCTATTTCCTAATTCATTTTGATAGACACTTTTAACTTTTCTTCCGAAGATAGGAGCAGACATTTGTGCTCAATCTTTGCATCAGTTGCTTTCCTTTCTTGTTTGCCAATGGAAGTGTATTTTAGCTTTATTTTCCTCTTCTAACATGCCTTCTTCTCTCCCATTTTTATTTTGTGACTGAGGGTTATTAGTAAGAGCTCTGATTTAGTCTAAGAATCTAAATAACCAGTGCCCTTACAGGGAAGAGTAAAAATAGGGCAAGTATATATGACACTTCCCTGGACCACTCAGCCAGCCTCCAGCTGCTTTTAGACATGGGGATTTCCTGAGTCTGTTACAAGTTGTCTGACTATGAGCAGCCAATACCCTGATGCTTCTTCTGTGTCCTGMTGAATCCATGTAAAATTTTCCATCCAACCAGTCCTTTGGGAAGTCCTACTATATGTTACCTGCCAGGGAAGAGCTATATTTGGGCATCTTGTTTGTTTTGCAGCTGATCCCCGCTGGCTTCAGGTCACGAGCTCATGTCATTAGAAAAGACAATGAACAGTCTAACACTGCTAGAYTATTTGCACCACTCTGATTTTATAGACCTCCGTCCCGTTACCTCTCCAGGGACCGTAGCAACTGAGACCTTTCCATTGGGATGTTGCTGTATGCTCTCACAACTGCTCTCCTCTGCTCTTTTCAGAGGCTGGCGAACCCAGCTGAGACCACATAGAGATGACAAAGCAAAAGCATCTGCTTGATGGGACACTCTCCTTGCTACTGCTCGTGGCCTGTGAAGCTCAGCAGCTCCCCAAAAGTCATGTTGCCACAAGTTCCAGTCCTCTGTGTGAGAAGGAGGCCAAGTCCTGGGAAGGCCTTTTCAGTAGTGARCGGCTGGACGCCTGGGTCTGTTCCCTCATCGCCTCACTCATGGTGGGGCTGAGTGGGGTCTTCCCCTTGCTGGTGATTCCTTTTGAGACGGGAGCTGCTCTGCACTCAGAAGGTAAGACTGCTGCCGAGGTTAGCCTTTCTGAGGCTGGAAGTCCTGGATTGTGATTGAATGGCACGGGGATAAAGAGGACCTTGGATCATCCCAGGGTAACAGGAATACTGCCCTCTAAAGCAGACACAGTTTGTTGCTTTAGGCCATACCCATCAATTTGATAGGTTGGTTCTGGCTGGAGCTGGTCAAAAAGCATCATTTGGGATGTGTGCCATTGGGATATGTGTCATGGGGAGTTGCTTGGTTCAGGACGCGCCCCACACACACACACCGCTGTTTCAGCCAAGTGATGCATTTGCCCCTACTGTTCTTTGAAAATTTGGCTTGCAGATGTCATTTTGTCCCTGCTCTTCTTTGAAAACTTGGCTTGCAGATGCTTCTAATTTAGGTTTCTTTGTGCAAAAATCTCAGCTGGAGATGTTTTGGCTCCAGGCTGAGTTATAACCTTTTTTTTCTTTCTTTCTTTCTTTTTTTTTAAGCTGGATCACATCGTTTGAAGCAGTTTTTGAGCTTTGCAATTGGTGGGCTACTGGGGAATGTGTTTCTGCATCTGCTTCCTGAAGCTTGGGCCTACACATGCAGTGCAGCAGCAGGTATGAAAGCCCCTCCGCCCCCTCCGTGCCTAGAAGCAGCTCAGACTATGGSTACTTCTTCTGATGCTTCTTGAGTCTCTTCCTTTTTGAAAACACACACACACACACAAAAGTTAGATTGGGTCAGCCAGTCTACATGAGCAATGATCAATCCACATTGACAGCTGAACACATCCATCATTTCAGGTGGGAATACTGCCCCATTCTAGGGAATGTCTTCCCTAGAAATTTGACCCTATCACAGTGCTACTCACAGCCTCTTTCTTAATAATCAGGTGTGCTCCCTGGGTACTTCAATCAGTGGAAGCCCAAATGTGCTRCCCTCTCCAGCTCTGGTCAAGATGAAGTGTGAAAAATTGACTCTCTAGAGCTATTGGCTGAAATGGAGAGAAGGAAACAAAAAGAAGTATGTGGAAGAGCCCATTACTGGCCCATAAGCTAAACACTGGTTGGGTTGAGGTAGTGAGTGTGGTACTGGTGTATCCTCTTCATCCCTCAGATACTCAGGCTTGTTGAAACCTGTAGTGATAATATTTCTGTCTTGAAAAATTGATGACATGAGAAGCCAAGTACTGCTTAATCCCATCTATTCTGCAAACCATGAAATCCTTTCCCTGCTGAGAATCTGAGTCTGAGAAAGGGAAAAGGATGGCCTGGGTTTACCAGGCTCCACTGCACCCATGACCTGAGATTTCAGATCTTCTGTGGATCAGTAGGTCTCTTAATTTTCTCCCTCTTCACAGTTCTAGCACTGTCTGTAGAACTTGGTGCCTTTTTTTTTTTTTTTCCTCTCTTGTCTTCTCTACAGCGGTTTGGTTTCCCAGTGACTTTGCCTTCTTGCTGTAGCTTGTTTACTTTTGCCAGACCATCCTGAGCGCAAAGGTTTCCATGACCCATATATGCCCCACTGCAGAGTTTTTTTTCTTTTTTTTTTTTCTTCTTCCTTCTACTGTAACGTGACATCCATTTCTGTAGCCAGGCTGAATGGATGATTATCTCACAGGCTTGGCTGCAACTGAAAAAAGTTTATAGCTTTGGGCTTAATAACTTAGCCAGGTGTGGCAGAAAAGGGAAGGTGAGTCCTACAGCTCTGCTAATGGGGAGGGTTGTCTGGGCTTGCAGCTCAGTAGACCCAGCTGCAAGATTTTTGTTGATACCAGCAGGCAATATCCCCTCACATTTGAAGCTTAGACATTCTTAGTATTGTTAGCAAACAGTTTTGGTTGCCCTACAGAAGTAAAGGGGTGTTGGGGCTGTCAGTTGCAGTTCCCTGGGAAGAGGGCATCTCTTTAGACTGAGTAGATGAAACTAATTTGCTGTGAGCTATGTTTGCTCCTTACTCCTCAGAAGGACAGTGGAAACACCTCCTRTTTTTTCTTGTTGTCTTGGGAGTCTTGGTTAATCTGCCTGGAACAGGATGTGTCCCTATATGGGAAAACACTGTATCTTTTTTTTCTCTTGTCCCTCAGGAGAAGGGCAGAGCTTTCAGCAGCAGAAACTTCTTGGTCTGTGGGTGATCATTGGTCTCCTGACCTTCCTGGCATTAGAGAAGATCTTCCTAGAGAAAGAAGAGGATTGCCCGGGTGTGGTGAGTAGCCAGAGGGGAGGGAGTACCACTGTGCTTGGTTTATGAGTCAGGCACATATGTCCTATACTAAGCACCTCCTCTGCCCTATTGCCATGTTCTGCAAATGGGTCCTGAGCTGTGAGTAGCTGCTTGTCAGCTTTTTGCAACTTCTTTGAGACCAGGCTGTAGGCAAGGTGTTTCATCTTCAAGATTTGGTTTTGTGGTTTTATCTGAGATTTCTTATCTCTGAGGTGGTTTTGTTCTCTGTCACATGCGTAAAAGAGAACTCCCCTTTTATGTGGCCTGGGAGCTTCTCCTCTGAAGAGGAGACTTTCTCAAGCAACCTTTGGAGTATGACAGGTGACAAATGTATACTCCATTTGGTGACCTTGACCTGCTGCTGTGGGTTTCACTTCTGTCTTAGAGTTCTGTCCTTCTCTGGAAGGCATTCCTCACCGTCCTCATCTCCTCAGCGCAGTCTTGACCAGGCCCCTGTTTTGTGGAGCAGATATTGTGTGGAAGAAGGGGTTTATGGTTGGCCAGGCAGTACAGTGCAGTGTTTCAGGCAAGGGTCACCCTGCACCACGGGGTATATTAACAAAGTAAGGGAAGGTAACTTCAGAACAGAGGAGCATGGCTAGTCCTTGCAGGCTGCACAGCTTGTAGCAGCAATTTCTGTTAACTATTGAATCCTTGCTGGGCTGAGTTCTTGAGAGATGACACTGGAAATCAGGCACTGTGTAGCCAGATCTTATTCTGCTTTAACATGAGATTTTTAAACTCTGAAAGGAATTTACCCTTCTAATATGAGAGAGTAAAGTCTCAGATGGACACACTGTGTTGTTTGAAAGCAGACAATCCTAGCTATAGAATAATTCTCTGAATTTAGTTATCCTGGTGTTCTGGAGAGAACAAGTGTTTCCTCCTCTTTCTTCCGCTGCCCAGATCAGGTCAAGAGAAATTCAGCTCCATCTTTCCCATGGGATATGGCCCATAAGCTCTGTCTCAAACTCAGTCTCTCTTGCTATTTTCCGTTTCCTCATAGTTGGGAAAATCTTTGCTCATGTTGTCTAACAGTTTGTTAGCCAGTTAGCCTTACAGATGAAGTTCAAATACGTAATTCCATTTTACTAATGTGACAAAAAACTCTATGATATCTGTCTCATCTCTGGTAGTTGTAGCTATTAGAACAAGATACCAAAGCTACTGATTTGGGCTGCAGCAACAAAAGGAATAAGGTTGATAACTGGATTTCTCACCCCAAATCATGCTCTTTCTTGGGGCCAAAAAAAAAAAAAAAAATACTGAGAAGTTGTTTTTTCCCTAATTTAGGGTTCTGGTTGTAAAGCACCAGAGGGGAAGATTTCCAATGGAAGTAGTTTTCCCCTTCAGAAGGTGGCAGGCAGACCCCAAAAAGCGGGAATGGTTTCAGCTCAGTGTAATGGCTCCTCTTTCCAGTCTCGTCCAACAGACAACAGGATCAAGGTAAGACATCCACAAGCAAACTTCTAGATGCTTTCTATTTTATGCTTTCTCAAGCAAATATAAAGAGCTCTCTGTGGAAAGTACTGTTACGGAGTGGGAACTTGGTGTTTATCAGTTATGCTTGTTTTTGCTCTTTCAAAATGTTCACTGGAGCTATAACAGGCTGGAAATAGCAGACATACTAGAGAAAATCTGCTCTGCAGCTCATTCAAGAAAGGCGAAGTCACGTTACCAGACATGTCTTCATAATGGCCTGTTTTGACTGAATCCTGACAYCAAAACACTTGTACATTTTTTTTGCACTTGTACTTTTTTTAYACTAAATCTTATAGTCGGTATATGTTATTCATTTAAATTTTTGGACAATGATTTCTCTTTTCTTCAGTGTCTGCCTTATAGCAGCTGTGAGTTGCAACTTCTTGTTCAGGCAACTTTTAGATGCTTTCTGGCAGTTGAAGCTATTCATCGTATAATTTAGGGGTTTGGKTTCTCAGATTAGCAAACTACTACTCCCAGAAATGGTTCTTGTTCACTTTATCTATAAATATGTGTTTCCTATCCTTCAAATGGGTGCTCACTTGATCCTATGGTGAGCTTAGTTCTATGAGCTAACAATCTGAGAACTTTATTGTTACTGTTTTTGTAGGTCTAATTCTCTGCTAATTTTGCTTCTTGAGTCAACATGCTATGTTSTCAGGCAATCTGTAGTGTTGGGAGAAGGGGATATCAGCAAGCTCATAGGACTGGAAGAGGCAGAGAAACTACTAGGCTGTGGCTAACGTTTAGATTAGCTTTGCTTTCACTTTTGGTTTTAGTTTACTGTCTTTGTACTGTGGGAGCTCTGAGTAAACATGACAGAGTAGAAGACCRCTTTTGTGAAAGAGAACTTCCAACTTTAGTCTGAGAGCCCATAAAATTGTACAAGATCACAGGAGAGTAACTAAAACAAGAGAATGTGGTTTCATGAACTAGTCCAAACCTAGATATGTAGTCAGTCAGAGTCTCTTCAGTCTTTCCCTTTAAATCTGTTTTTCTGTAACTTTGTGGCTTATCAGCATATTTTATTCAATCGTAAGGTTGGTTTGCAGCAATACTGGGAGACATAAAACTTAACTTTATCCCAAATTCTAATTAGATTAGAGTTGTATACAGTCTACTTTGCTAATATTATCTATGTTAAAACTGGTTATTGTCTATTACAGAATTAAAACAAAAATTGTCTATAATTTGGGACTATATTAATACAGACTCACTCAAAAATACATTCACTATTGGTTTGCAATCTTTTTAAAGGAGTTTAATTTTTAAAGTATATTTTAACATTTGCAACTATTACTCTGTAACTTAAATAACAGTACTGCATGAGGTCAGTGATACTAGGTAAACTGAATAACTTCATCAAAAGAGCTGAATTTTCCATACATGAACGAAGCATTCCAAATGTGAAGCACTAGATTAAGAAACAAAGAATGCAGATCACATTTATAACATAGGTACAGTTTCCAAGAAGTCAGTACCTTGGAAAAATTCCAAGGACACACAGGGGAAACTGTTGTTAGAAAGGCGCAAGGTAGGTGCTTGCAAAGAACAGAGAAACCCATGGCAGGCTGCTTTGGTTCCAGTACCCACTGAGTACTGGCCTTTTACTTTTTTTGTTAGTTTGTTTTTGTTTTTAAGAAAACAAGAGRGAAAAGGTACTAGTTAAACAAATAGTGGGAGAACTGTTTAGCGCCTCCAAGATTAATAAACTGCAATTGGTTTTCTGTGGACCACRTACATAAGAACTAGAGCAATAATGTGTTCTGGCTTAAACACTACAGGTGATAAGGGTCCTCTGCACTCAAATATAATTTGGTGCTTTCTTGTACTGCAGTCACTAGAATGATTTTACTTGTTGAGAGAATAGAGTACTTCCTTGCTCATTCTTTCTTTTCCCTGCCACGCACAGTTGTCTTTGCTTGTTTGTAGATGTATGTTTAACTGCACAGTGACATCAATTCKGCAGCATGAACATAAACACTTCATCTAGCTGCACTGTTTAAGACTGAGGAGAACCTCCTATTAGATATTTTCAGAAAGTAAATGTCAGAGGCTCATAACTGTCAAATCAACCCAGTTTATATCTGAACACTCCCAAGGCTTTGCTTCTGTCAGTGACAGCTTTTGCCACTGACAAGAAAAAAATCATAATGTTTTAATCATGAAGCTTTTTTCTCTTTTTTTTCCCCCACTATTACAGTGATATAGGGTGTGTGTGAAACTTGCATGAATAATAATTACTATTCTGTGGGGAAAACCTAGTCATCTAAAATCCCAGCAGGAAAAGGAGAAATTTTAGACAGTCACGTTAGTTCTCATTCCTCATATTTAGTCTAAAATGGCTGTGTGTTTATGAGTCTGCATGCCTTGKTTTTTTTTGTTCTCTTTTCTTACAAAACATGAGGGGAATGTGTTCTGCATCTACTGTAGAGATGTTGTTTAGATTACTACTTAATGTATTTAGGCCTGCTTAATAGGTCATTTTCATATTTAATCATGGAATGCTTTTAAAATTTTAGAGCCTTTGAAAATATCTTGAGATTGTGCAGTAGAAAGTGCTGTGCAGAAAGGTGGTGCCTTCTGAGGGAGAGACTTGACTGAAAGCCCTACCTGAGCTGCAGCTCATAGGTGAACATGTTATTTTATTTGACCACAGCAAGAAGGAGGATGCCTCATGCACAGGTCAACAGAAATGGGGAAGAGCAGAAGACAAAAAAAGTGTGCTGATGGCCTGACTATAAAACTCATCAGCACTTGAATTCTTCCAGCTATACATTGGTGCCTGGTGCTATGGTGAAAGAAGAGGTTAATGCTCTAGTTTCTAGACTGTCTCACAGGTTGCTGCTGTGTAGCTGGAGCCAATGTATGCCAGCTCAGTTCTTGCAGCCCAGGAACAAACTGGTAGATTAGCTACCACCCAGACTGGTGCACCATGTCTGCAGCCAGCACTCAGTAATCTTTGTTAAACATGATGGGAAAACAGAAACTGTGAGCAAAAGGGCTGGGGTGGTATCCTTATAAATCAGTTTGGCCCACATAACCAGAATTTGTGTGGAAGCACTCGTAGGTGTAGCAGTGGTTAGCATGATAGGGAAGTCTAACATGGAGGCAGACTCATGTAGGGAAGTGGGCACATGCCTGCAGTTTTCAGAAACGTGTTTGTCAGCATGTGTATGMATATACATGCTATCCAGCCTTCTAGTGGGTGGATTTTTGGTGACCACCATTACTATCTTTTCTCTTGTTATTCTTTCTTAAGGGAAAGCAAACCCACAAGCACAAGCTTTTTTTAGTATAATGCCTGCAGATTTTTTTAGTTATAAAAAGCAATTTCAACAGCATTTGTTCTGCTGCACTGTTCTTGCCAGCTCTTGAGGAGATATTTAACAGTTATATAATAAAATACATGACTAGAAGACTAGGTTAGGTCATATTTATAGCCAGTCGACTTGTGTAAATTAGKGTTGCCTAGAATTGGTTTGATTTACAATCAGTTTATTCTTATATTTTGGCTATATATTTTTCCTTTTTGCTGCTTTTGTCTCTCTCTATATCTAGACCTTGTCATTTGCCCTTTTTCTCTCTCTCCTCCTCTAAGGTAGATTTTCTAATCTTGGACAATCTAATCTTGTCTACCCCAAAGCATAGTTTACTTTAAGACCGAATACAGCATTTAAGTTGTATCTATGCAGTGATGTCAAAATCTTCATCAGGAGTGCCATGTCTTGCTCAGTGTCATTTGATCATGGCTGCATATAACCTGTGCCGGATCTTGTCTGGTGTATGCTTTCATTTAAGTATCCTCCCTTATCAAGAGTTCTTCCTTCTCTTTGCAGATTAGTGGATACCTCAATCTGTTGGCCAACACCATTGATAATTTTACACACGGCCTAGCAGTAGCAGCCAGCTTCCTGGTGAGCAGAAAGGTAAGGTATYTGTCGCACGCTATATACTGGAGATACCCATCCTAAAGTGTGATGCAACATACAAAAATACCGAAGATGTGAGGAATCTCTCCTATTTTCCGGAAGCTTCTGGGAACACAGAGAAGTATTTTCAGTAAGAAGCAGCCCTGTCCTGGCCCTCTGAGCCAGAGCTTCTTCAGTCTTTCGGAGAATTTTGTCCTTTGTACTGACATGTGAGGAAAGGTCATCTGCCTTTTCACTGAGAACTGGTCACTTCTAAACCTTGAGTAACAAGAGTCTTAATCTGGAGAATGGGGCCTTCACATGCTGAGGMATGTTTCAGCCTTTCAGAGTGAGGACTATTTCCTAATCGAATTCTCTTTTCTGCTACAGGTTGGGCTCCTAACCACAACAGCAATTCTCCTGCATGAAATCCCACATGAGGTGAGAGGGCTCTTATCCTGCTGTCCTGAAGGACTGAAGGGATGCTTCATCTGCTAAAAGATAATGACTAAGTCTGAATAACATTTCCTTGTCCCTTGAAAAGATGCTTCTTCATGGAGACTGACAAATGAGAAGTTAAAAGAAGTCTTGAAGCACTTGTCTTGTTAAGTTGTCTCGTTAACTTGMCTTTGTGTTTGGGGATATTCATATGCATTAACTGTTGGCTCTTGGTTTTCTTAGGTAGGGGACTTTGCAATCCTACTTCGGGCTGGGTTTGATCGTTGGAGTGCAGCCAAGATGCAGCTATCCACAGCATTAGGGGGGATTCTAGGAACCTGCTTTGCAATATGTGCTCAGTCTCCAAAAGGAGCAGGTAAGGCTCCCTGGGGCTGCTATAGGGAGGCTTGTGGTAGCCATGTGTGGTAGCCATATTCATCTTCTATTTTCTCTTGTGATTTTGCCTCATGACTAATGAAATCTTCCTGTATTTGCAGGAGAAACAGTTGCCTGGATCCTCCCTTTCACTTCTGGAGGATTTTTGTATATTGCCTTGGTAAATGTTGTACCTGATCTCCTGGAGGAAAAGAATCCTTGGTAGGTGCTCCTGTTTGGCAGCAGCCCTTCTTACTGCCCAGGAAGCAGGGATGTAACACTTCCCCATGCCTGTTTTGGGAGCACATGAATGACAGCTTTCCATGTCCCATGGACAAGTTTGTAGAAAGTGTTGTGGTAAGTGTTGAGTTGACAGGACTACAGAGATGCTGTAAAACTCCAGCTGGGTCAGTCCTAAAGGTTTTGCTGTCCCAATATGTTATCTGTGGCAGTAGCCAGTAGCATGTGCTTAAGGAAAGACTAGAGGAAGAGACTAGAGGAAGCAAGACAAGTGAAAAATCACAGAATCGCAGACATAATGATTTTTGGAAGGAGCCTCTGGAGGTTATCCAGTCCAACCTCCAGCTAGAGGAAGTTGCTCAGAACTCCGTCCAGCTGGGTGATCCTGTACCCTTGCATATCTTGGCTTCTGGCATCTAGTGGCTTAGAGGCCACTCAGCCCTGGGGCTTACCCAGAATTTAAAGCTTATTTTTCTTTATCATTCACCATTTTGTAATGTTTTATTGTATCCCACCTCAGTCACCTGTTTTCCACACCAGAATTTTCTGGTGTATTTTGCCTTCTTGTAGTTGGTAGTATCTTGGTTTCTTGGAGCCTGGCAGAGGCTGTGGCTAATTGCATTCCAAACTCATCTGCACCATTSTAGAGACCTTCCCAGGCTTGCTGACAGAGCTGCAGTTGAAATGAGGCAGCTTAAAACAGTTTAACTAGGAACCTCAGCTTCTTGGCTCAACCAATTTCCTTTTGACCAAGATGGATAAAGAGCTCAAAAGACAGTTCCACAGCTGGTATCTGAGGAGACAGGAACCTCTGRTAGAGAAATGTTAATGGCAGCTGGGAGCATGCTTTTCAATTGATAACAGCTGCAGTGGCAGTGGTGTGTAGCCGCTTTAATGAAGAATAAATATGAGTTGATGCTAAATGAGTGGAAAAATTCATTAGCTTTTTTATTTTTGCAAAGTAGTTGTTGGCTCAACAAGGTTCCTAATCCCTCTGAACATGCTGCACAAGTGCTGGTGCTAGCATAAGAAAAAGGGCAGGAATAGGCTGCCTGATTTGCCTGATTTAATCAGCTTTTGTTGATTTGGAAAACTCAAATCAGACCTTTCAGTTGAATGGAAAAAATATGTTCCAGTTTATGGASCACTTCTTTGTTTGGGGTTCTGGGGAAGAGTCTTTGCTGAGTGAATCACTTCTCACAACCGCAGTCTTGTCTTTGTGACGAATCTGGAAGGGTATAGAGCAAACCAGTCAAGAGCCTCTACACTGCTGCCCAATGGGCAGCAATTCTGTGGCCCCTTCTAATTTTCCTGTTTCTTTTCCAGGAACTCCCTACAGCAAGTTCTACTCCTGTGTACAGGCATTATAGTCATGGTGCTGCTCTCACTCACAACAGAGTGACTTCTGCACAGACCTCGCGACTCCTCTCAGAGCCACTGCAGTGACTCTGAGCTGCCAAAGCAATAAGAACACTAATGTTACTTCCTGCGCGTGCACGTGTGGATCTGGCTGCTAGTATGAGAAGCAAGTGAGAAAGAGGTCTGGGTGTGCAGGCCTTTATTCCCTGGCTCTCCTATCCCTATTCTGCTAAAATCCTACACCTCAGAGCTTCCTCTTTTATGGAGCAAAAGATGGTATGAGCAGAAAAGAGCTGAACAACGGCTCCACGGAGAATGGACAGTATTTCATTCAGTTCATTATGATGGAACTGAAAGCTGTTGCGTGAAAATGAGACATGATCCCTGTAACTGATGAAGAGGTGAAGAGGAAGGACGTGTTCTACCACTCAAAGYGTTGAAGACGGAACAGGGATGGCAAAACAACAATAAATTAACAGCTTTAACTAGAACTCTCTACCATTGGGAGTTATGCCGCTAGGAAATCCTGCATTGTAGACAGTGGGGGAAAGGTCTCTTTCCAATTCAATCTCTGGCTCTTCATTGAGACCACTTGTTTCTAAAGGTACCATTAGCCTTGGTAGTCCAACTTTTTGGCATATTTTGTATTGATTTATGTTGAAATTGAGCCAGAAACTTGAGGCATTTTGGGGTCGTTCACAAGTGGCTCAGTGTGAAGATTATTTGCCTCAGCCCTAACCACTCCAGTAACCAGCATGGCATAGCTGTTCATCAGAAAAATGGTCAGCAAGTATTTCTTCTATTGCTAGACTATCAGCTCACCTATATCTGGAAGGAAAGTCATGGAGTTGCTGCTACTGACTTCCCTCCCCACCTCATCCCCTTAAGCATTAGCTGAGTGTGGTCCTGAGCCTGCTCTCGACCTGTCTCCCCAACCAGCTTCCCCAAGCCAAGTTTCAGAGCTCTCTTGAGGTGGAAAGATTGGCATGTTAGCCCTGTCCAGCATGCTAGAGCAGCCCGAGGCTGAAGTTTGGGCAAGGGCTGAACACAACACCTTCGGTCAGCTAGAGGTAACCCAATGCTGGCTCTTCCTCTGCTCAATGTAGGATGTTTAGGAACATGCTGTAACCAAAAAAAAAAAAAAAAAAAAAAAAAAGGTAGTCTAGTTCTGGGCTTTTTACCTCACAGGGGAGTTACAGTCTGTCAGGGATGAATGAGTAAGAAATAATACTGACAGTATTTCCTTAAAGGAAAGGGTGCAGCAGCAAAGAACCCAGGAAGAGCAAAATTTAGAGGGTGAAACTGCTGGTGAAAAGATTAWAAATGAGTCTAGGAAAGCTAAATGTGCTAAGAGAGAATAGGATATGAAAGGATGGCAGTAAGTATGCTTTAAGAGTTTGCTGATGTGTGACACTTGGGATTCAATTTGTTGACCATCTGAAATCAATAAAAATAAATGATGTTTCTAGTGTTTTGTGTGCATCCCAGCTGGCAGACTGACCAGGCTGCCCCTTCCAATGGGAGATTTTAGTGCTACAGAGATCTGTGCAATTGCTCGCTCATCCATTCCGCAGAGGTTATCCTTGCTCTACATAAATCTGTTAAAAAAGTGACCTTACTGGACGCAAAACAAGTGCCACAATTTGAGTTGCACCAGTTCAATTCTGTCTTTAAAGAGTTTTTGTAAATGAGTATAGCTTTCCAGGCTGGACAGGGCTAGTCTCTAATTTAGAGGGTGATCTGTCTCAGAGCAACGAGGCAGGTATTCTGCCTGTAGCAGAGGCACTTCTCTGAGAAATTCCTTGTTGACACTGTTCTATTTTTATGACCGTTTCTGCCCTACTTTTTGGAGAGAGCTGGCAAACTTGTGTCTGCTGTTCTCTCTGCCTCAGTACTGCTGTCTAAAATCTGTTCAGTGTTCCTCACTGGTAGGTTTACATCACTAACTAGCTTCACTTGAGCAATGAGAGCGCTTAGTGCATTTTTCGTTCTCTTACAAAGTTGCCCTCCTTTTCAACTACTGCCTCTATCATCCCTTTGTCACAAAGTCTGAATCGAGCATCCACTTGATGTTTTCCTGGAAGGAAGATTCATCAGATTAGCTTACAGGGACTCAGCATATTAACCCCTCATTCTAGTACTTTGTAATTATTTTTCCTTGGAAATGGAAGCCAGCTAGACCCTATTGTAGCAATCTGAAGGAAGCCCGTTTGCATAGAAAGATACGCCCACTCTTTCCCTAGATTCTTACTCAAAATGCAGCTGGCATTTAAGTCCAGGCATTACCAGGTGAGTGCACAGAAGCCAGTATTATTGCATCAGCACTGAATCTTGCTAAAACTGGAAACCGTAGCCCAGGTTTCGTGCTCTCCATTCAGGAACATGAAGTGGATGGCATTGAAGAATTAATTTCCGAGTTGCTTTTCTTGGCTGGTGCCGCAAGCCTGACAGACTGCAGTTCTTGRGAAGGTACCCTGGTGCAAGGCAGCACAAGGCTTAGAGGATGGGCTGGCTAATTTCCTGCTATAGGCAGCATCAGCCCCAGGCGAGGACTAAGGATGAAGAGCCTCGGGAGGAAACGGAGCATCACTTTGCCATATTTGTCACTTTTAGAAATGCAGACAGAATCATCTTTTTCTAGTTCTGCTTTTTTTTTTTTTTTTTCCCAGCTGCTCCTATGCGTTTCCCCCTTTCATCTATATTAGTCTGCTCTGTAAGGAGACAATAGAGRTGAAATAAATGGTTTGCAATGTGCGTTTTTTTCTGGTTTTCCATTTTGAAGCTACTTTTCTTTGCTTTTGAATTACAGAGCAGTATATTTAGTAGTCCAGACTAGTTACTTTACCCCTTGAGCCTGTGCTCTCTTAAAAGAGAGATTCCTGAACCATTCTGCTATTTCTGCTGCCATGGCATTGTAGGCCAGGAGTGTTGTAGCATATGTGGAATCATAGCTTTTGGATGTGGGTCTGCTGGCTGAGAAGGATAATTATGTGAGTTGCTCCTTTTTGAGGGGAGTGCCTGCATGGCAACTGACTGCTCAGGGAGTTTAGCAGCCATTTTTGTGATTAATGATTCCTCAGCTAAAAAACTATTAGACCTAACTGATAGTTACCTTCCTCATCACTTATCACTAAGCGGTCACCTGCTGTGTGGAATAAAGGTATTCATCATAAATCATACATGGAAGGAGCCAGGTGAGCTTGTGAGGGAATGTTGTGTCCTCCAAAAACACAGGTTTAATGTATGTCTTATCCCAYCTTTCACCTGAGAGATTTTTATGGCTATAAACAGTGAGAATCATTTACTACCATTCACTGCTTATGAAAGACCTTTTAAGGAGAAAGAAAATGACAACCTAAGAGCTGAAAGAAGATAAAGGCAGCTAAGTGACTGAAGACATGATTTCATGGTATGTGAAGGTTTTGCCAGGACTGTAGCTTTTGGAATTTTGYCCCTGGATTGACTTTGATGCCCTCTGTGGTGAAAGATCTTTTGTGTTATCTGGGGAGCAGTACCTAGAGCAATGATTGTATTTGAAAACCATTTTTCATCCTGGTGTGAGAGACTCTTAATTTAGCTGGTATGTGTTAGAAAATTCCTTCCATGGCAGCGCTGTCAGTTCCTCTCAATTTGGCTGCCTCCAAGGCACTAATGTGCAGCTGCATGGATGGTAATCCCATCTGTCCAGTCCAAACTGTKGAAGAGAGACACGCTGAAATGTTTTTGAGCAAGCTTTCTCCGTGGCTGCTGCATGTTTCCACCAGGTATAGCACTCAAGGCGAGAAGCAGGAGGCTGCTGCGAGTGGGGTCCGCAGATGGAGAGGTGCTGGTATGGTCACCTAGGCTGCACTTGCTAGCTGACAGCACAAAAAGGGAGGAGGAGGAGAGAAAAAAGGACCTGCATCTCCTACAGTTGAACAGTTAGTCTTTAGAAATAATTATTCTAATCAACCACAACTCAGGACTTTGATACACAGGGGTTACGTTTGTAATTTAGACTTACTGCACCCTCAGATCACTTTAGCTGGGTGCCAGATTTGACAAGGTGATGTCCAAACAACTGGCCTTGGGGACGAGCAGCACTGCAGTACAGAGAACAAGTTCCACAGAACAAATAGGATCAAAAGGGATTTGGTGTCCTCTGTATTTAACTAATGGCTTGGATTTAGCCTGCTCCTCACGCCTGGAAATGTCAATCTCTTTTATGCACTTGAGGCCTTGCCTTGCATTCACGGATAACAGAGAACTGAGGAGAAACCATAACTGCAAGGCCAGCATCTGCCACCACTCTATTTTACCAACACTTAAAAGAAAATGCTCGATCACGCGATTTCTGCCTTACCCGTAGCCAGCTGCCCTTCTGCGGCGCGGGCCGGGGCGGAGCGGAGCGGACAAGCGCGAGGGCGCCGCGCGACCGTTAGCGCCGCGCGACCGTTAGCGCCGCGCGACCGTTAGCGCCGCGCGACCGTTAGCGCCGCGCGACCGTTAGCGCCGCGCG